GGGGGGGGGGGGGCGCGCATCCCACTCCCCCCTCCAGCACTAGCCCGGGCCCTGTCCCCTCAGGTGACGACTCTGTTTGGAGACCTTGATTTAGCTCCCCCTCAGCTCAGCTGTGGGAGTGTGGAAGACATGGCCTGGCCTTGCCAGTAATGGCCCTCCAGGTTGCTAGAGAAGGAGAGTTCCTTCTCCCCGGAGACAACTCAGGGCTGGAGATGGTAACACGTAGGGGTGTTTGAGTGGTGTGGCACACTTTCTTGAAAGTACGTGACTTCATTTGGTTGTGAGGTGGAGACTGAGGCAGAAATGGTCCCTGCCCTCCTCCCCTGGGCCTGCTCAGCTCTCAGCCACCTGAGGGCTGCCCATGGGTCCCCCCATTCCTCGGCCTGCCCCCGCCTCGTTCCTGTGCGCCTCTCCCATCCCACCTCTGGTGCCTGTGCAGAGGGAAACGTGGAAGTGAGCCTGGCCTCTGGGCCCTGCTTTCCTGGCTCTGCAGCTAAGGCAGTGATTGGCGGTGGGATGAGCTGGGAAGGGACGGGGGCTAGAACCGTGTCCCCTCTCTCACCTTTACTTCTAAGGCTGGCCCAGGGCTTTGGGAGCTGCTGTGCCCTCTCCCATGGATGAGAGCTTCTCCTAGCTTCTGTAAAGCAGTTAGCCCCTGGTCACAGGGCCTGACTCACTGGCGTCCCCAGGACCCGCCGCAGACCCACCCACACCCCCCAGCCCTTCCCCCTCAGCTGCCTGGAGAGCTCGGAGGCAGAGCACCACCACCCCCACCCCCGCCTCACCAAGGACCCGTAGCTCCCTCTGCCACCCAGGCAGTGGGCAGTGAATGTTCCTGAAGGACCCGGGGCCATGGTTGCCACGCAGCTCAAGGGGAGGGGCGGGTGGTGGAGGGAGAGTGGAGTCGAGCCCTGCGCTCCGCTTCCCACAGGCTCCGGCCCTCCGCCCACCCACCCGCCGTGCCCCGGGGGGCTGGTACCCTGGAGCCCCCACTGCCCACCTCCTCCCGTTCCCACCCCAGGTCGTGTACTACTCGGAAATGCACAAGATTTTCGGAGACCTGACCCAGCAGCTTGCCCAGCCTGGCTGTCCTGACGAGCAGCGGGAGCGGGAGAACGAGGCCAGACTGAGCGAGCTCAGAGCCCTCTCCATCGTGGCCGATGACTGAGCCCGGCCCTCAGAAGTCTCTGGAACACGAGTCGGCCTCTCTAGCCTACGCTTCACAAGCTCAGGCTCGGGCGTCAGGGAGCAAAGGGCCCTTGCCTGGGAGAAGGATGGGGATACCGGCAGCTCCCGCTGCACCACCCCAGCCCTTGGGAATGAGCCTGGAAGCAGGAGCCCCGAGCAGGCTCTTGCCTCCCCACTCGTAGCACGAACCCACAGACAGGTAAGCAGTGTAGACTGTCTTAGTCCCTAAAGAACCGTCCAAAGTGCATCCTGGCCTAGGGCCAGAGCATGGGCTCTTGTCTGCTCCCTTGAGGTCTTAGCCTGGCTTGCACGGTTGGGATCACGTCTACCTCCAAAAGGGCCACCCTGGGGAGTCACCCACCCTTGCTGCCTTTTCACCTCAGACTCGCCTTTTCTGGGAGAGGCCTCAACACTGCCCTGGGCAACGTGAAAGCCACGGTCTCCCAGCCGCAACAGGCCCCTCACCCCAACCTCTCGGCAAGACAGCGGCCGGCTCTGCCCACTTCTAGACTTTGGGTCAACTGCAGGGCAGAGCCCCAAGTCTTGCAGCTTCCCTAGGAAGCTGGGACTCAACGCATGTCAACAGCCTACCCCACAAAATGTCACAGACCGAGTCACAGGCCTCAGAGCAACAACAGTGGGTTTATGTCTCACCTCATTATTTGGGATTTTATTTTTCCAAGTAAAAAGTTTTCAATAAAATGTCTGTATATTGTTGTGCCGTAACTAAAGAGAGGAGAGGAGGAGCCACCCCAAGTCCTTCCCAGGCCCCGCGGCAGCCCCTCTCCTGAGCAGCAGAGCCCAGAGCTGCACCCCACCCCCACCCCCGCCCTCCGGAGGTGACACCTGCATGGAGCAGAGGCTGCGCTGAGGGTTGGGAGGAGGGCGGAGCACAGGCACACCTAGAAGAGGAGCGAGGGGGAGAGTTACAGAGGACACTTAGTTTTGACTTTGGTTTATTTAAAAAACAAAAAGCCAAAAAAAACCCCAAAACAGAACACTTTATATACAAAGTCGTCAAACTGAAACCACGGATTATGGAAAGAGGCGAGACTTATGGGGAACAGGGAAAAGGCTGGGCCAGAGCCAATACCACATTCTGAACATGGGGAGCCAGGGAAAAGAGGTGCTGGTTTCTTCTGGCAAGTCTGGGGTGGCTGGAACACAGTGTTCACTGCCAAACACTGCCCAACGCTAAACGCTCGCTAGCACTGACTGACTCTGTTCCTGCGATGGCCGCAGGAGACCCTTCCCCCCAGAACCTGCTCCTGAAACCTGGCAGGATTTGTGCCATCCGGAGGAAGGGGAATCTTACCCCCAGCCAGCTTCCGCGTCTGTTTCTTCAGTTTATTGGCATCAGACCTTATGACAGACTCAAAAAGCCTTTTCCTCCCCTGTCTTATTCTAAACTGGAAGAGGACAGGAGAAAGCACAAGACGAAAGGGCCCCAGGAGGAATCCCAAGGTAGAGGGCAAAATGACATTCGAGGGGTGCAGAAGATGTTGGATTTAGTTGCAAGTGGAACCGGCTTTCCTCACTCATCCGTCCCACACGGCACAGACAGACCCCACCCTGACGGCCTGAGCTCCTCTACAGAGGCCGAGCGCAGGGGTCAGCCACCCCTGCCGATGGCTCCCAGGTCCTGCTCCAGCTTCTTTCTAGAACCAAAAGGGCTCTAACTTCAGCAGGCTCCATCGCTGACCTCACAGGAAGGCAGCTCCTGCACCAGGCCCCTCAGTTGCTAGGTGCTGGCTCCTCCTTCTCTACCCAGCTGTCTGCCTGTTTGAAACAGATGTCACGAGAATCGGACTCAGAGGAAGGGCCGAGATCCGAGGACTACTGAGCACTTCCTCCTGGGAGACTCCAGGGTGCCAGCTGCTGATTCCATAAGAAACTAGCACACGGAGGCGGAAGCAAGGTGAACCTGGGCCCGGCCCCGTGCCAGCTGCCCTGACCCAGGCTCCCCGCCCGGCGGCCGGCTCTCCCAGGAGGCTCACCTTTTCAACCATCCGCTGCACCTCGAGCTGCAGGGGGGTCAGGCGCCTTCGGAACTCCTGTAGCAGCCGCTGAAGCTGGTGCTTCTGTCGCTCCGCCGTCCGGGCTGTCTCCTCAGCCTCAGCCAGCCGGGTTCTCAGCTCCTGCATCTCTGCGGCCAGCGTCTTATTCGTCACTTCAGTGGCTGAGAAGCGGTTATGGCTCTCCTCTGACGGGGGAAGACAGGAAAGACTGCCAAGCTAAGGAGGGGAGTGTGGGGCCAGAGGCCTGGAGGCTGAGGGGCGGGCCTCCTGCTCGGCTCCTCGCGTCTGCGTCCAGCCGCGACAGGTCCCCGCGCCGCCAGCCACTCACCCAGCTTCAGCTCCAGTGTGTGAATCTTGTTCTCCAGGTACAGCCGCCCGCTGTCCTGCTGCTCCGCACGCTGCAGCAGGTTCCCCACGTTGATGAGGCTGCCGTTGTGGGACACCAGGCCCTTGTGCTCCACAGGGGCAGCGCCCGGCTTGGCACTCTTCCCAGGAGGAGGTAGCAGGTCCAGGTTTCCTAGAAGGGCCGTGAAAAGACTCAGGGACGGTCCCGGGAGAAAGCAGCCTGCTCCGCTGTCCCCAGGAGGCCGCAGAGCACAGTACGCACCGAAGAGAACCTCCTCAGGGAGCCCCCCGTCCGGGCCCTCCGGGCGGCTGTACTGAAGGCTCCGATACTGGCAGATGTTCTGGGCCACCACCCTGCTGACCAGCTGTTTGGCCTGTAGGAAGCACACACCCAAGATGCCCATGGATGAGAAGGTGCAAGTACCCCCACAATGGCGTGCAAGAACCTAGAACCACAGCATCCTGAGCCGTGCATGCACACGAGGATGTCGGGCGAGGCATCTCAGAGAGGCCTAGGGCGGGGCATGAGAAGGCACCTGCTCTGCGCTGAGCCGGAGCCCAAGGGTAAGCAGGATCCTCTCCAAGTCTCGCCGATGCAAGTAGCCACACCAGTTGGCATCAAAGAAGACAAAAGCAAGAAGACAGTCCAGAGGGAGCACAGGAGAGGGGTCCAGCTCCTTGGGCTAAAAGAGAAACAAGGATGAACAGGATTTACAAAGGGTCCCTTGATGCTAAATCACCCAGGACGAAGCCCTTATAAAATCAAGCCACTTGATATTTAAAACGGATAACCAACAAGGACCTACTATATATAGCACAGGGAATTCTGCTCAGAGTTATGCGGCAGCCTGGATGGGAGGGGAGTTTGGGGGAGAATGGATACATGTACATGTATGGCTGAGTCTCTTTGCTGTGCACCTGAAACTACCACAACATTGTTAATTGGCTATACTCCAACATAAAAAGAAAAGTTTAAAAAAAACAAAAAAAATCAAGCAGCTTGACTGACACACTCACACCCTTCCAGTTAGAGACCTGACCCTGGGCCAGGCAAGTCCCTTGGCCTGTAACCAAAGGCCTCTTTGGGGCATTTTCGCCCTAGAGGCTGTCACACACAGAGGAATCTTGGGTGCTCCCAGGTCAGACAGCTCGCTCAGATCCGCCCTGATGGAGATACCGAAGTGCTCTCCTGGATCTTACGAGCATGCCATCCCATAAGCCAAGAACCACCTTTTGTCTTTCGTCTATCACAAGATGCCAGAGGTCATTTAGGAAAAGCACCCCTTTCCCAGGAGTGAGTCAGAGGCCTTGCTAAGCTTCCCTGTCACTGAGACCCAGAGAGGCACAGAAGTCTCACCATGTCCTGAAGGGATGAGAACTCCATCTCTGACTGATTCGAGGCAACCGACCGGACCTCGGAATCCTCCAGCTTGGCTCCTGCTACAGAAAGCCAGAGATGAACTTGGAGCCGGAGCACACGGGCCCGGACTGGCTCCACACACAGCCAGGACGGGAGCCAGAGAGCCAGGAAGCCACCACCCGGGCGGGCGCCAGACATACCGAACTCCTCCTCCCCATCGTCCCTCAGCAGCAGCAGTTCGGGGTCCAGGGCCATCTCGCAGAGGTCCTCGGACACCTCGCCCCGGGGTTTCTCTTCTTCCTCTCCCCCAGAAGATGGGGGTTTGGGCAAAAGCCCGTCTTCCTTCTAGGAGAAGCAGACCAAGATGATGAGAGGAACTGCCCCTGTGACAACCAACAATAACAACGGTTAACATCTGTGCGTCAGCCGCGTTCAGGCACCGCGCCAAAGGCGCATATGCAATGTCTCGTTTAACACACTTCGTTACATGGGGGTCACAGAGCAGACCAGGACGAGTTCCAGATACCTGGGATTTTCCTCAAGAGTCAATCTCAGTCCCGTAAGAAATTTGTTTACTTGACAGTATTTAGGCAAGAAGAAGACCCATGTGCTTTAGAAATGTTTAAGAAAATGCAGTGTTCTAGTTAACCGTCAGGTAATCGAAACACCTGTACCCATCAAAGCATTCCTATTAACGGAGACTTCCATGCTGCCGTGTCAACCACGCTTCCCTTCACTGCTCCAGGCCCGCCTCCCTTCTCCCAGGTACACCAACCACCTCCGGGCTGTGTGGCCACGTGGGAGAGTTAAGCGCCCCGCACCTGAGTCACACCAGGGTCACAGAGCGTGTGCGCGCAATGAGCGAGGGGTGATGAGAGGAGACCCCTAAAGCACTCTGAGCAGCGCTGGTGCCCCCGCAGCGCCCCAGTTGTGTTCAGCATTACCATGTGCAGCCCCAGTGCCCGTGCACGGGGGCAGAGGTACTCACCGGCGGGGCATCTGACTCGGCAGCTGTGCCCTCACTCTGTACCTCATCCTTGGACTCCTTGGCCTCCTCCTTGACCGCTTCTTCCTCCTTGGCCACCTCCTCCTTCTCAGGTTCAGGTGCGGCCACGACCTTTTCCGGAAGGCTCAGCAGCATCTTATAAATCCTATAGCCAAAATCCCTCTGCAGCATCTCCAGAAACAGCTCAGCCAACACCATCACCTGGTGGAAGAGGCAACAACGGGTCAGAAGCATCAAAAAATGGGGTGTTCCAAACGCCACCATCCTATACGCCCTGCCCCACAGGCCCCAGACTCCTACACCTACCT